GGCAAATTATTTCCGTCTTTGTGGCTACACTCACCATCTTGCAGTGGTTCGTGCAGTTATGCCGGGTGCTGTACATATCTGCTTATTTATATGGCCAAATTAAGGAGATGACTGCAGGCAGGATTATAACAAGACATAAGCAAACACAACATAAACCTCCCATTTTCCTCATTTAAAGATTACTACTTCATTGTTGTGTGAATAACTACTGCTTGGCTGGTTGGCTTGCTTTGTGAAATAACTGCTCGTCTTGTTGGCTTGCTTTCCGACTATTACCTGGCAAATGAGTCAGGTTAAACGTTTAGACCTCTGGCTGGCTTCATCGTGGCAGAAACAATTTAGATCAATCGATATTCAAGACACCAATATTTAATTTTAATATTTTCGTTACACCCTTTGGGGGAGGTCCTATTTACGTTTTTCGCCCCAGAAAGAGAGTGACCTCCCTTGCCATTCGTGAATCGTCGTGTCGCAAAACCGACTGGACTGGCCTCAGGCATGCAACAATGAAGTCCATCGCATCTGACCGTCAGCCGTGGAATGAAGTGGTCAGTCATCAGAAACTGGTGACCCAATGTTACAGGATGATTATGAATGTAGATTTCCATGTCCGCACCCCCACTCCCCCCCCCCTTTTTCCCCCTTTTTTTCTCTTAAAAAACAAATTTCTTGATTGCCCAGCCCGTTGATTTTTTTCTAGTCATTTGCGATTTATTTAGTACTCAGTTGATAAAGACTTTAGTCGAAACAGTGCATTTAGAACTCAATCAATAAAGGCTTTAGTCGAAACAGTGTATTTAGTACTCAATTGATAAAGGCTTTAGTCGAAACAGTGCATTTAGTACTCATTTGATAAAGGCTTTAGTCGAAACAGTGCATTTAGTACTCAATTGATAAAGGCTTTAGTCGAAACGGTGTATTTGTGGGCGTCTTCACCATTCCCTTCACTAAGCTTTCTAACCCTCTAGTTTCTTGCAGTGTGGAAGTAAATTATAAACTACCCACACATAAACACACACACAAAAAAGGCAGCTATGTTTTACATGGAAGTTGTTTGGATGAGCTACTGCCTGGGGTTGTTTCTCAACCAACTTTAACTTTAGAGGAGACTGTTATTTTTTTCTGTTCATCGTCAGCAGTTTCGATTGCCATTTGGTCGTAACACCAATGCTCATGGAAACATCGAACCAGTTACAAGCTTCTTGGACTCAGAAAATAAATGAATCATACAGTCTCCGTACTGAAGGCTGGCTCAAGGAATCTCCTCATTTATATAATGTCTCTGGCCAGACATTCTCATTCTGCGTGTGTGTTCAACTCAACGTTATTCCCGGTTTATCACTGTGCTGATGTTCCTTGAATAAACTCCCCCATCTAGTGTGTAGTTCTATTAGTTATGTTTATGCACTTGCCTATTATTTCATTTAGCAAATTTCTTTTCATGCTCCTCTTCTAAATCTCAAACTGTTTCAGCAATGGCAAAATACCCGGTCCTTTTTTTTTTTTTTGTTACATTTGAAGGACCTCTATTTAAATGAGTGTCTCAATATAGTAAAGTTAGCACCAACTTCAACACACACAGCTCTTTACTCTCCCTGACAGAAAGGTAAAACATTTCACAATCTCTTGCTATTTTCACAGCACGCACAACATTTCCGGGGCCACCTTGATGTAGCAGCTAGACATCCCTCCAAATCCCAAGGTTGAGGGTTCAAACTGAACAGTGCTGGACTGTCAAGTCAAAAATAAACCTGGAGCTTAGGTCCACCCAGCCATTAATACCAGGTGAAGTCATTGAAGATGCCTCCCTCCTGTGATGATCCCACACCACCAATCAAGTTCTGAACAGTCCAAAACATAGGTCTGGCCCTATAAGCCCAATACACTTCAAGGGAAGCAAAGAAGCATATGGAAGATTTATTCCATACTACGCCCGACATCACCAATTCATTGCAAACTTTGCAACGGCCAAGTGCAATGATGAAAGATGCTAACATTTTCTCAAAGGTGTCCTCTGGGCCAGATATAGACTTTTGGAGGATTCAGCATGGGGAAAAGGGTCGGCTGCGACCCATTTAATGGAACTAGGTTGTCACACGCACACAAAAAAAATTGCAATTTTGTAACCCACAACAGGTTGGCAAATGTGCTGGGGGGGGGGGGGGGGGGGGGGAGGTCAAACTGTTTTATTTATATTAGCAAGTTAATTCAATTAGAATTAATCCAAACACTTCCATACTTAAGGGTTAACATAGCCATTGGTCTCTCTGGCCCTTGTGTTCATGTATGTTGCTTTCTGTTGAAAGTGTCTCATGTTTAGGCAAAAAAAAAAAAAAAAAACGGCTACTAATCAACTATTCTCACTTGACCAGTGTTGCCACTTTGGATCTTTTATATCCAAATTTAGATCTTTTTCACTGCATTTAGATACTGTTTTTGACGTTTAGATCGTAAATATTTTTCTAGAAACTTTTCATATGGAGTTAGATATTTTATAGATTTTTTTGGTCTTTCATTGTCAATTTAATAATTACTGTGTAAAATATTTGCTACAATGTTTTTGTTTTGGGCTGGCACGTAAATTGTGACAACTGCCATTACTTGAACTTTGAACTCTCACTATGGTCAGAGCACAAATATCTGGCAGCCCCTGTACTGATTAAGAAAAACGCGCGTAAATCATACAGTATCCTCACTGTGCTGACTTTGCGTTTCTTTTTCGTGTGATTTAAAAAAAATAATTGCTCACCTTCTTATGTGGCTTTCACTTTGAAAAAACGTTTCAACATGCCAAAAGTGAAGTATGAGCAAAAAATTTGGAAAGAGTGGTTGCATGATGACAAAATTAAAAACTGGGGATAAGACCAAAGCTTATTGTAAGTACTGCAAGTGTGAAATTAAAGAGAAAATACAAAACTCAAAGAGTCATGCAGAGACTAAAAATGCATAAAACTGCAGTTTCATTTAAAGATATTACACCGCTGACATCTGTTTTCAGAACTATACTGATAAATGAATCATCAAAAGTTGAAATATCAGACGCAATGTTTTTAATTTGTCACTGCACAATTTCAAACTGTGACCATTTGATCGATTTGTACAAAATCTTGGACTAGTTCAATTTGAAAAGTGTGGTGTAGAAAGTATAGTTTAGGAACTAAGAGACCTTTTAATCAGCAAACAGTTAGGCTTGAAGAATTTGGCTGTAATTGGTACTGATAATGCCTCAGTGATAGTTGGTATAAACAATGGCGTTTATGCCAAGTTGAAAGAAGCTAACCCATCATTATTACTTATAAGATGTATGCGTCATTCATTGCAGCTAGCATTATCACATGCTTCATCTAAATATTTACCAAGGAATTTGGAATACCTTATTGCTGAAACACTTTACTGGTTTTCCAAATCATTTGTCAGACAATAGCAATACAATACATTATATACAGCCTTGAATGATGGTTCCACACCACCGAAAATTCTGTCAGATTGCAAAACTAGATGGTTATCAATTTAACTAGCTGTTGAAAGAATTATGAAGCAATGGCTGAAGTTGAAGACACACTTTGAAATAACAAGACAAAGTGAAAAGTGCTACACAGCTGAAATACTATATGGAATGTACAGCAATGAAAAAAAATTGTCATTCATTCTCTTTTTATAAGCTATTCTAATGGAAGTGCAAAAAGTTAATAAACTGTTCGAATCTAAACTTGTTGATAAAGTTGAATTACTTGATGATCTCACCTTGCTATTTCACTCGGTAAAAGACTGGTGTTGCCAACTTCTAAAGCTGATTTGCTCACTTGCACTATAGAGAGCTATTTGGCTCCTAAGCCACACCTTGGATATTAAATCGAATCAAAAATTGATGATTTAAAAACAAATGGACTGTTAACAGAGCATGAAGCGAACAACTTAAGAAAACGCTGTCAAGATTTCCTTATCTCATTATTGAAGCAGAGACTTCCTGAAAATCTAGATGTTTTGAAAAATATTTTACTTTTTTCTGTGAGCAACATACCTCAGCCAATAAAGGACATACCTAAATATTGTAAAGTTATGAAATTTTTAGGGGCTACTAATAATAGTGTCGCGGAAGCAGAATATCAGTTAACCAAAATAAACTTAGTTGAATGGACAAACAAAACAGAAACTAAAGCGTTTTGAAGTGAAGTGACACAATTTAAAGATGCCTCATCAAACAGTCCATTCTGTAAGCTCTTTAAAGTGCCATGTCTGCCATGATACTACCCCACTCAAATGCTGACGTAGAAAGAGTTTTCAGTGCTAGGAATTATATCAAATCTAACCTAAAAAACAGGATGAAATTTGACCTCTTAAATGCTATCGTGCCATTAAAATTCTGCCTGATGAGACGAGAAATAAGCCTACTGTTCCACTTGTAAAGAAATTTGAACAACTAAAGCATACCAGGGTCATTTTGGATCTGAAGCTTCCACTTCCTTATCCAAGCTAAGTTTATCCTGTGGATCTTGTGAGGCAGACATCAGTGAAGGTGAGGACATGATTATGTAGGGTAAGTCATAACAAAAGCTATGCAATTTTTGACTTTTTCAATTTGGATGTTTTTTCTAGATCTTTTCCACGCAGATTTAGATCTTTTTAGATATTTTTTGACACCGTTTTGGATATTTTTTGTCAAAGAAAAGTGGCAACACTGCACTTGACGTATCATAAATGTCATAGAAATAATCACAAAGATAACACTAATTTAATTTCTAAATGTTTATTTTAACTTACAACATAAACCAAATGGAAAAAAAAATGCATAAGACAAAGACAACTTTGAAAAAAAAAAAAATATGAAAAAACCAGCCTGCAAGTAGCACACATTATTTACATCTTCAACAACCATCAGGATGTTCCCTTCCCAGCACCGCACCTCACCGTATGTGAACATTTGACAGATTATTACAACATACAGGATAAAACACACATCAAGTTTCAGAAGTGATATTTCAAACAAACAGGCTCAGGAGTTAGCTCTCAAACTCCACGGGGATGGGTCTCTCCTTCTGTTCAGGTACCTTTTGTAACTTGAGTTTCAGCACACCGTCCCTGGTCATTGTGGATGTGGCACTTTTCAGATCGACACCCTGTGGACATAAGTCAGTTTTTCAGCGTTTCATAGTTTCATAGAAAATACGTTTACATAGCTTAAGCCTGCAAATATGAAGACAATTAATTATAGTTAGTTCACAAAGATCAAGTCTGCAAATAAGAGGATGAGGATACTCCGGTGGAAAGTCCTGGTTGTTCATCCATTTCTCGACCTGGACCAACCAAGTCTTGTCCCCGGACTTTAGTGTTGGACACACACCTTGCAGCTCTGGTTTATTGTATACATACTGCCAATCTTTAGCCTCTCAGGCAGATGTGCTCTGAATTTGAAAAACAACCCTATTGTTTCTCTGATGTTCCCAGAGGTGTTGGATCTTGGCCAGTTTGTTCTATGCTCTTAGTAAACCTTGCGCGGTCAAATGGGACAGACTTGCGTATGAAAAACATGAATTTCCACAACCTCCCAACCCCAAAATTAAATTGAGTTGGGACCGAGCCGGGCAAAAAAAAAAAAGCAACAAATGGAGAGGAAGGACACAGGGTGGGCCACATAGTATGGCAGAAGACAAGACAAGTGTGTCCAATCTGGCTGTCCAAGTTCCTCTGCAAGATAAAGGACAGAGGTGAGGAGAAGTTAAGCTGTATTCACCAAGATCCCAATCCTCAAAACTAACCGTTCTATGCAGTATAATTGAAAGAGTTTAAACATTTTGCAAGTTTTTTGCCAACAGTCTGTTAAGGATTTTTTGGACCCATCTAGAATGCAAACAGCGGAGAAGGGAAAGGGAAGCAACAACAACAATGCAAGTTTAAAACCACTATAAATATATTAATTACTGACATCATGAAAGCCAACAGGCTGCAATGGCAATGTGTGTGGCACATAAAGAGAATGGCAGATAAACAGAGATCCCCCCCCCCAATGCATAGCCAAAGAACTACATGTGAAGACCGCAATGAGGCAGACCTGAGGCAGACCGCAGCGAAGAGATAATGCACAGGCAGACCTACAAAAACATGAAGCCACTACACCAGACTAAAAAAAAAAAAAGATAATCACAGAGAATAATGGAAGCAAGTCATTATCTATAGCAATGATCCCCAGACCGTGCGCTGCGGCACCCCAGGGAGCCACCAACTTTTTTACGGGGCAGCACGAATTATTAGAACTTTTTATTTTTACTTTTTCACATATCAATAGTCCTACTTTTACTTAGGCTAGGGCGCTGCTGAAAAGATTTAAGTGGAAAAAAAAAGGTGCCGCAACTAAGAAAAGTTTGGGAAACACTGATCTGCATGAGATCCATCTGAATAATCGTTCGACCCGTTGCCGAAGACCCATCATAAAACACACATTCACTGAAGTTATGAGGTAGCAATGAAAATATTTGTATGGTCGGGGTCGCCATAATGTGTGAAAAAACTGTAATAAAAGGTTGCTGCATTATGAAGGTTGAGAACCACTGATCTACAGCAAAAACATCCAGGGCTTGGAATGATTAAGCAATTTGCACAGTGCCCGCCAAAATACATCAACTGAAATAAATCCAATCCATTATTTCATAATCTTGGAACTTCACCTACTGAACCCAGCCTAAGATGCAGTCTAATTAATAATTCTACCACTATTTAAGAAAATGTTTAAGTTGGCCAAACAAGAGAAGAAATACAAGCGAAAAGGATGTAGCATCAACCTTTGGGGGGGGGGGGGGGGGGGGGAGAGACAGAGAGAGAGAGAGGAGAGAGAGACTTATCCAGCATAATTAACTACAATTTGACACAAACACTAAACAGAGAGAAAAACCTACCTCTGGAGGTGTGAAGATACGCGTCCACTCCCGAGATACAGTGCAGTTTTTCTCTGGTTTCTCCTCATGTTTGGCATTCACAATGATCCTTTTGTTGTCAGTTGTGATACGGATGTCTTCAGGTTTGAACTTGTCACCCACTTTCACTCGAACTTGATACTCTTGATCTCCATCAATCACCTGAAAAAAAAATATTTTGCACCATATTTAAACTCAACTCCATAAACAATTTACACTTCATTGTTTCACTTAATATCATTATTTTATTATTATTACATCACCTACTTTATCCTTATTATGATCATTACACATCTGTCTTTTTTTTCCTCCCCTTCCTATATGTCAACTGCTGCTCCTCTTGTTCTGCATGCATTATTTTCCACTAAGTGCATGTGTGAGAATCTGGTGAGAACTCTGCTGTATGTAAGGTGACATTTATTTACGGTCTTGGATATTTCATCACTGACCAGGGAACATTTTGTGTTCCTACTTCGCAAGACTTAATACTAGAAATCACTGTGTGACTTCTAGAAATCGTTGTGGGGAGCTCTGTCTGTTGAAAATCTTTCATATTTGCCAAGCAGCGCTTTGTAATTCCAGCTGTGAAATTTTACATTTCCTCAGATTAAATTTGGCAATAATTATTAAGCAGTACCCCTCTGTATGGGTTCCCATTCATTATTTTTTATATTACTGTTTATGATTACAGTAAACGGCTATCCTCTGAAAAATGGGCACATAACATGGCAGCCGCAAAAAACACCATCCTAACAGGGCCCTGGTTACGTGTCAATTGCGCACTTCCAGCATCCTAATTTGCTGTTTTCCGTGACCGCCGCCGCCGCCACCGCTGGTAGTATCCCCCACGCCGCTCGCGCAGAGTGGATTGAGGCTATACTAGATGGCTGGGACTCACAAGCAGCAGCTTCCGCATCTCCTGCAGCTTTGCTCGTGAGTCCCAGCCATCTAGTTTAGCCCCATCCACGCCAGCGGTGGCGGCAGTTGCCCGAAAACCGCAAATTAGGTCGCCAGAAGTGCACAATTAACACGTGACTGAGGCCCTGTTTTTTGCTGCAATAATATGTGCCAGTTATTCGGAGGATAGCCCGGTAAACCAATCTCATACTCCAGATGATGAACCTGCTCGAGGTCCTAATGGGAAAGGGGAAGTGGGGTTAATGAGCCAGTTTTTTTTTTCCCCATTACTAACATCCTGTGGGATATTTTTTTTTTTGCTTTGCATTAATTTGTTGGAGTTTTGTAATAGTAATACATTAAATCAGGATTTTTTAATTACAAACGTAACCCGAGAGCTAGAATTACATCTGTATTAAAACTTAATAGGATATGTACAAGGTAAAACGAGAATATTTTTTTGTCATGTAGACAAATTACGTAATTACCAAAATAACAGTAAGTTAGAATGTACTGGAGGTTTCTAGAAAATGCTAGAAAGAACGTTGTTTACACCAACAACAAGATATAACTAGCATTCCTAAGAAATGCAATTAAGAATGTATTGTCCTCAGATTTTCTACTTATGAAAATTACTTTTCATACTGATGCGTGAAAGCCGGAAGTGGTGTCAATAAATACGAAATATTGAATTACAGATTATATACTGAAATACAGCCAGACAAAACTGCATAGCAGAACATCTAGGAGAAACACAAGGGAAAGACCAAGAAGAGATAGATAAATGATGGATGGTGTAGCAGAAACCTGCAAAATGATGAACTGATAAACGAATCCATCACCCAAGGCTCAGCCATCTGAGAAGCGAGAGGCAAATACAGAAAACCACAACACTGGGTTACAACCTGGTATCAATGAGACAACAGAGGAAATAAAAGGGAAGAGGAGATTTGGGCGATCCTCCGAATATTGGTCCTAAATTATCAAGCCGGAAAATATACCCTAACAGGGCCTCCCTCACGTGTCAATTGTGCACCTCCGCCACCGCCGAGAGTATCCCTCACGCCGCTCAGCGGTGTGGATTAGGGCTAAACTAGATGGCTAGGACTCACGGGCAGCAGCTACCGCATCTCCCGCAGCTTCCTTCATTTTATATGCTCGTTGAGTCCCAGCCATCTAATTTAGCTTCAAACCATGCCGCGCGAGCGGCGTGGGGGATACTTTCTGCGGTGGTGGAAGTTGCCAGAAGTTCCCAATTCAGCGCTGACGTTATAGTCCCCGGAAGTGCCCAACTGATATGTGACTGAGGCCCTGTTAGTGTAAATTTTCAGGCTCTGATTTATTTGGAGGATAGCCGAAATTTGGTCAAGCTTGCTGCTGATATTTTTATACTGACAAGACATCCATCCACCTAGTTAAAAGTTCCAGATACTGATACTATGCTGATTGATTTTGTGTGGTATTGTTTGATTCTGTATGTGCTGATGAAGGCTCTATAGCCACAATGTTCACGTTTTGTTGGTGTTTGTTTTATCCTGAAGCTTACCGATATACTTTCATTTGGTTTTATATCTTTTCCGAAGAGAAAAGAAAAACCTGCACTACACACAAAGCTACACATAAAGTTCACTCACCTAACACAGCAAGTAACTTATAATATATCTGCTGCCAGAGAAATAAATGGATACAAATATAACTATAATAAATAATAATCAATAATCTGTTCACATTACTGTACATCATTAGGAGGTACATACCTCAACGTCCCTCAGCCCGGACAAATTTGCATCGTCCAACAACCTCAGAGCCCCTGGACGAAACAACGACAACGGCCTGGACAGATCGTCGGCCAGCCGCAGGAAACCAAAGTCTGGCTCATCAGTCAGGCGTGGACACACAGCAAACATGGTTGATGGTCAGTTGAATCTCAATCTCCAACAAAGGTAACGTTAAGTTGTGAAACGCGAGTCGCAAATCTCGATTTGTTCGCTCTGTAGAACGTTTGGTTGCAATACTGAACTAATCCTGCTTCGCCCGTGCACTTTTATATTCTAAGCACCCGGTTCATGGTCTGTGTAGAAATATCCAGGACAGAACATTCTAAACTGCGTTCGTTGTAAACAAGGTCGGATATTATCGCCAGTTCTCGATGTAAACAACATGCCTCTCAGCATTTGCTCGAGACTTCCAGAACATTCTAATTCGCAATTATTTCGGCAGTCGCGTAATTTTAGTCCATGGAAAAATCGATTCAGGTTTACCTTGAACATTGTCCTATTTATGAAACGTCAGTAGTTATAGAAGTTGTAAAGTTAACGACAGTGGTACGATGTGAATAAATCGCCGTAAAACAAACGACAACACTAACAACAACAACAAAACATTGGACATATCCACCATGGATGTCCTCTTATCTGCTAGCCAATTGTTACGCTAGACCAGGGCTCCCGAAGTTGGCACTCGCGTACAAATTTGGTACAATTTAATCTCGAAACTGGACATATTCCCCCAAATGTGCACACGAGTTGTGCTAAGTTATAATGTGCGTGTAAAGTTCCACTATGTATGTTTTAATTTTGCAGTTTTATTCCGATTACGAGTTTAGATGTGTTTTTGAACGCAATACCTACCTATACACGTACCAATGGCAACTCATGTAACGACAGACGTACAGTACAAAAACCAAATGGCAATGCAACTGTACTTTTGGTACCAGGCCCGATGTTTTGGTTAGTTTTGGAAATGTTGTATAGATATTTGTAAACAGAGATGTGGTTTTACAGAAAAATGCTTTAAATACCCTGGGAAGTCAAAAAGAGCAATCAAGAGGTTTTTAAAGAGGCGAGAGCCAGAAGACAACTTATCACAGACATCAGATTACAAACATAATTTTTTGGCCATGTTATGAGAAGAGACACAATGGAAGATGTGACCACTGGAAAGATCTGTGGAACGAGGGATAGAGGAAGACAACGAGACACTATTCTTGACAGTCTTGTTGCATGACATGGAGGTGTGTCAGCACACGAACTGATACATGCTGCAGAAGATCGCAGATTGTGGAGAGGCATGGTCGCCCACGCCAGTCGGCAAGGCAACTGATGATGATTTGTAAATTTTGGTGCTGTGTTCAAACTTTTTTTTTATGACTAGGAGTGTGCTGAAAATAAGCCTCATTCCTCAGCAGCTGCAGGGTTTCCTTTCTCCGTAACATTATTAAGATTAAGAAATTGCTCTTCTTTGAAAACGCCACCAATAAATGCATTGGTGTGATCAGAATCATTAACTTCACCAAAACTAGGTCGCCACGACATCTTGTTAACAAACTGACTGGGGAAAACGATACAGCAATAGTGTATTGGACAAATAATTTCAATTCTGATCAAATCTCAAGTATGCCAGCTATATAGTCATGTGTATTATATATATATATATATATATATATATATATATATATATATATATATATATATATATATATATATATATATATATATATATATATATGTCGTGAAATGATAGCCATTACGCATCGTTCTGTAAGGCTGATAACCTGTCTTACCTGTAATCTTCACAGAATTCAAACTTGGACTCGCCCGGAAATATATAGTCCCTTATATCTATATATATAGGCCTTTATTGGACAACATTATTATGTCTACCTTTTCTGGTTACTTTAACTAAACTCCACTTTTAAATGTATATCTCTTCGATATATATTAAGGGAGTTATTTGAGGTTTCGTGGAAACCGATTTACTCCTTGCTCATGTATGCTAGGGACTTCTTTTTGTACCAACGCCTGAAGTGTCTAAGTGACGCTATTCTCTCTTGCCAGCTCTAAGCGTCCAGACGTGTCAATCTATGCCTGTATAATTTCTGTTTTCAAGGCGATTTGGAATGTCTCAGTTTTTACATATGCTTGGGTAAGTTAATTATAGTTTACGAGTACCTAAAATGATGTCTGTAAAGTAGTCACTGCTGTAGAGAGATCAGTATCGGCTGTGTGATCACACTTAGTTCGACCGTTCTTGATCGCTAGAGAAGCGGATTCGAACGTAGACCTTCCCCTGTACAGACTAAATAGCTTATGCCCTCAATAACCACCCATACTGGTAAAATTAACACCCTTACAAGTGTGTACTCTCTAAACTAACTATAGAAATTGGTGCATACAAAATGGGGCCAGAATTAGGTCAGGACTGTGTCGTCCAGGTATGAGTATGGTTGACCCAGATCAATGGATGGTAAGACTGGCTTTTGGGAGTGTAAGGATTAAAATGTACTGACAGTAAATATTGGTGTCTGTGTGCAGAGGGAGGGGAGAGAGAGAGTGATATATGTGTTAGAACACTCTATCTATCTCCACTGTATATCTGACTTGCCTTCTCTTGCACTAAACAGACAGA